ATTTAAAGAAAATCCATGGTCTATACATCGCAAATCTGCATACATTCGCGGGACGGGTTTGTATTTCATATATGCTACCCGCGGATCGTGCGGACCGACTAACTACAAGTCAAAATATTTTTTGTCTATCGCAAAATGAACTTAACGGGACGAATCAACTCGCTTTGACAGTTCTAATGGGAATATTATTTAGTCATACAATAAAATGAAGTTTGGACATAGTAATAATAGAATATGTATCTTATTTGTTAGATGAGAGATTGAAAGATGAAGTATAATGATTAAAAATTAATTATTATTTTTCATGATTCACAAAATTTAATAAATACTTATCATCTTGTTGAATAATTCTAAAATCATTCAAGAAATTTTTATAAATTGAAAATTAAACTTCTTTGGTAAGCTATAGGTATGAAAATATCATAATTTCGATTTAATCTAATTAAATTAAAATTAGTTACATGGATTTCATATCTATTTAATTTACACGACCAAAATAAAAATATCTATTTAACTAACACGACCAAAATAAAAATATCAATTTAATTTATAAAACAGATGGGTTATTTGTGATAAATTTTATAGAAATCTTTAGAAGCAAATAAAATATCTTTCAATTAATGATAATTGGCTAAAATGAGCGAAATTAATGACAAAAACGTTGATTGTTATGGAATTAGTCCCAAAAATATATGAACAAATTTATTATACGTAATTAATGTATAATATTGTTTGGAATATGCTTTTATTATTAGTTACCATAAATACAATCAGATTTTATTTGATTTCCATAAATATTTGATTTTATTTCGATTTTTTATTATTAATTCGAATTTATATTCCAAAAAAATTTCAAAGATCCGATTTCAGAATTTCGGGTCAATTTTTTGATTTTAACCCGACCCATTTTCATTTGTACTTCTCTTTTAATAGTATAGAGATAAAAATTAAATAAAAAAATTTCGGCTTTTTTCTGTTAAAATAATGTTTAAATTTAAGAGATTTTTGTCTGGGATTCCTATTATTAAGTTTTATAAACTTGTTAACCACATAATAGACTTTTTTTTTCTTTCTCCACGGTCTTGTGTTTTTGTCAACTCATTAAAAGAGATTCTGTACTTTAACTTTAATAAAACGAAAAAATGTTTTGGAAAAAAAAAAGGAGAAATAATAGTTATAGCTTTTACGCGTCACATTTTATTATTCTTGGTGCAACATTACGCGTCACATAATGTTTACTTTTTTGTTGCCAAAATACGTCACATGACTTTCTCTAGTTTCACCTTTCATACATCATTTGACTGTCTCTAGTTTTCTCCAACATACGTCGTCACTTAATATTACCAAGAAGGTGAGAAAACTATTCATTGACCACGTTCTTAATATGTTTCACGTGTGTTAATTCAACAAATCCCCACGTGATTAAATCATAATAGATATATAGTCACCCACACGAGAGATAACATCAAAGTCACAACTCAAAATTGTCAAACAGACTAAGAGAGAAAAGATGGATAACTTCTTTCTAGATTTGGTTTGTCAAGAAGACGACAACTTCTGGGATCTGATCGGAGACATCTCCGGTAACGATGACAAAAGCGTCAGTGTGCCAAACAGAAGCGCCTTTAGGTCATACGTGAAGGGCACAGAACATTTGTTGATGTCGCCGGGGACAACTTCATCGAAGGTAAACGTGAAGAAGAGAATGGTGAATCTTCTAAGAAAGAATTGGGAGGAGAAGAAAAATGCGGTGGCGCCGGAAAAGGAAAGATGCCGACGACATATGTTGAAAGAAAGAACGAGAAGAGAGAAACAAAAACAGAGTTACTTAGCTCTCCACTCTCTACTACCATTTGCCACTAAGGTACATTAATTCATTGTGTTAATTAAATTCAAATCAAACTTTATATTAATTTCTTAATGCAAGGAAAGAAAATCGTAGTAGATCTAACAAAATATGAAATTTACTTAAGTAGGGTTTAGGTCCAGAATCTCTATATTGTCAACAACAAACGAAATCCAAAATTTCACAATGCAAAAATGGCTCATAAATTACTCCTAGTATGTCATTAAATATATGTATATATTTTTTCAGAATGACAAAAATTCGATTGTTGAAAAAGCCGTGGATGAGATTGGGAAACTACAAAGATTAAAGAAAGAACTAGAGAAAAGAATTAAAGTGATTGAGGAAAAATCAGCAAAGGATGATCCTGATAATATGAGTGAAACAAAAGTTAGGTTTAATCTACAAGAACCTTTGTCTGGACTCGACTCAATGCTTGAAGTTCTTCATTATCTTAAATCAATGGGAACAAAACTTAAAACAGTCCACGCCAATTTCTCTCCTCAAGAGTTTTCTGCGACCATGAACATCGAGACTCAGGTACTTAATCAATTCCATTCGACTTGGTTTAATCCGGTTTTGGTTTCTATTTGGTTATGACAAGTATATATAGGTAGATTGTTTTGTGTTTTTCATTAAAGGATGTTTTAAGGAGTGGTTAAATTAGATATGTATTAGTGTGATGATATTTAATTTAAAGTTAATTTTTTGGCAGATTAGAGGAGAAGAGGTTGAAAAGAGAGTGGAGAGAAGACTCCAGGAAAATGAATGGAAACTTCTCTTTCTCCCAGAAGCTTCCTGTTACAAAGACTAATTGTGTTGACTTTCTGTCATTAATTTTCTTTTGTTTTTAAATTAATTTGTAGATATTTAAAATTAATTGGGCAAATGCTTTATTGACACACATTAAGAAAAAATGGGCACTACTTTTGAATTTTGAAAAAAAAAAGAAAGTAATTATTAAATATAATATAAAATTTATCAAATATATAACCATATGTAGTGCAAAAATGGGCAAATTGTGTGATAGATAATTTGGTGAATATGTGATGCATTTTATCAATAAAATAACATAAAATTTAATTATAACCAGCATAAAAAACTATCCCAATTAAAGTTAATTTAACAAATCTAAAATGGAAAGTTCTATAATTTGGCTATTTGTATTTAGTATTTACTACATAAACTTTTAAAACAGGGGTTTTTAAACAATATTATGTTTCTCTTCAACTTACTAATATATTAGTGTTAAGGTCGGTACTAGTGTATAGTGTGTTACAGTCTTAATAATTGAGAACTATATTATTGGCATACACTTGTTCACCATGATGTCCATTATTTATTACTTATAATCGTCAAAGAAGACCATAGATTTGTCAAAGAAAATACAAAAATGGATAGTAAACTTTACCTACCGAGTCAAAACGAGAAAGAACCAAATAGAAAACAGCTCCTTTTAGCTTGAACCAAAACTTATTACTATTTAAAACATAGAAATTAGTAAAATGTATGAGAAGCAAAATCAATAATTTTATATAGAGTACTCAAATTTAAAACCCCTTGGTGGTATTAAATAGAAAGTCATCAATAATAATAACGATAAGTTCGAAAATCAAAACTCAAAAAGGAGATAAAAGTCATCTAAAGAAGATATATTTGGAGATAAGTAGCTTCTTCACTTGAGAGGAATAAACCTGGAGGAATTGGTAGCACCAACACCAGGCCTACCATGCTTAACCGGTTTGTAGGAGATTGAGAATTCAGCCAAGTAATGTCCAATCATCTCCGGTTTGATCTCGACTTGGTTAAAAGTCTTTCCGTTGTACACACCCAATGATACTTCCAATCATTTCAGGCACAATGATCATGTTCCTCAAGTGTGTTCTCACTGCTGCTGGCTTCTCACCAGCTGGTGCCTCTATTTTCTGCTCAAACACACAAAAATTATTTACTCTTTTGGTCTTTAAAACTATTTGGTTGCAAAGGACAAACACAAAATTATAATAGATGGATTACACGGATTAGCACAAAAATGGGGTATGAATTATAAACTAAAGACACAACGTCATAATCGTCACACAAGAGATTTGAGTAATCTAAAGTCATAATCTTTACTATTAAAGCCATTTCCTAGCCAAGATCAAACACAAAATTACATAGGGAAGAATGAATATATATATATATGCATAGAGATGGAATACAAACTTAACATTATCATGCGAAAATAGGCTGATGATAACAATGAGTCTATTAGCCATTAAAAAAAAAACCAATGCAGCAATCGTCACATAAGCCAAACTAAAAATCAGTAATTTGATTTTAAGGAAAATAAAATAAAAAACAGTAATTTGATCATCAAAATCTATTAACTTTACACAATTTCTAGATTTGACAATTGTGTATATATGTTTCAACAAAGATCTAATTAGTGATGAAAGAATAAGGGTTTTTACCGCTTTGCGCAATTTCTTGATCAAAGCCATAGGTTTCCTGGTCAATCCTCTAGAGAACCTTCAAAGACAACAAAACACATAAGTCTCACAGAACCAAGAAGAGACAAAAGCTTTTTCTTGGTTCTAAGAAAGAAACCAACCTTCTGCGAACACGAGCACTGAAATGCTTGACAAGATCATCGGTGGACATGTCGAGAAGCGCATCGAGATCGACTCCTCTGAAAGAAAACTTCTTGAACGTTCTCTTTTTCATAATTCCAGCCGCAGCAACCTCTGGTTCCACATCCGCCTATAGTTTCACATGAGGAGAGAATTACAACCACAATAATGTTCGAAAACCTAATCACGGAAACAAAATTTAGAAATCGAGGAATCGAGGAACTAACCATTGTTGGATTGATGATACCCTAAAAATCCACAAAGCCTCAAAACAAAAGAGTGTCTGCGTAAAAGACAAACAACTAAACTTAAACACCAAATAAATAGGTGACGCCGCCTAACCCTAGAAACATTTTTTTTTAATGTACTTTTTTATTTTATTTTATCCGGACCCATGCCTTATATTCGGAAAATAAAGCCAGTAGAAAATAAACCATACATTTTATTGATTAAAAAATAAAATATAGCTAGATAACCAATATATAATCAGAATCATGTATTACACTTGTTCAAATGTCTCATCTTTGTCACTCTTGTGTGTTGTGTTATGTGTATTGAGAGATAACTCAAAGAATGATGCAACAAAAAGAGGAGAAGCTAGTTTTGAGGTTCACTTCGTTTACTAAGAACTCTAGATAAAAAGATATAATCAAGTGTTTAACCCAACAAAAAAACTTAAACAAAAGCAAGATATCAGATGTTCACATCGTCAAACAAAAAGTTAAATGTGTCATGCAACCAACGTCACCAGGCTGGTACAAATTAAACTCTTTTTGCACAATAAAAAGAGACTCATTGCCCATCTGAAAACATAAAAGCAATTCTATTAACAATCAATCAAAAGAGTGTCTGCGCAAAAGACAAACAAACCATTCCCTTACATGATGAACACTTACCTTCACGTCTTTTAACTGTTGGACATTCACGAACAAAGTGTCCATAACCTTCGCATTCGTGACACTGCATATCAGCTTTTCTCGATGGTTTGTTTTCTTATGATTTCTTTTAAAATTAACCAAACCGCTTCTGACCTTGTCCCTGCTCGACTTTCCTTAGTGCTCGATCAAATCTTCGAACCAGTAGACTCACAGGATCTTCTTCCTCTGTTTGAGACTTACTTTCACACGATGTGAATGCCAATCCTTTTGGTTTCTTGATTCCCCTAAGTTTCCTACTAACTCTCCAAAACCGAGTTCTTCTGTGTTGTTAGAGACATTGAAGGCAGTTTTGTATGCCATGAACCTTGACTTAATACAGAAATTGATTCAAAGGTTGCATCTTCATAGGCTCATAGCTACCGCATGAAAATGAGCAAACACTTGCTCTTGACCACAATATCTCTCTTGATATCAATGTACTTTGTTCTTCCATGATACTTGAGATCCTTCACATAGACTATACACATAAAACTCGCAAATCTAAATAGATTGGACATCCAGTTTTAGATTGTTGCCTGGTTTGAGACATTCGATGCCCTCTGCATTAGCAAGAAATTGTACACTCTCTTTTTTAACAAAACTAAAAAATACACGTGTAAACGTAAAACCTATTAAGCAAAAACCTTTGCTCCTCAAACAAGTATTATCTATTTAACATCTTTCTCTGCTGAATTTTCCGACTAAGTTCCTCTGCCGATGGGATGCCCTCGCAGCCGCTTCTTTCGGCACTTTTCCCTGCGCTCCGCCACCATGCCTTCAACTCCTCCTGCTCAAATAAATCATACAAAGACAACAAATTACAATTGGGATTTGTTTTGACAAAATTTCAAAACTTTTGACGTAACTGGTCAATTCATTATAATACCTCAAGAAAGTCGTGGTTTGATATAAATTGAGACTCAACAAGGCAAGTCACACCTTTAACCTTAACTGAGATTGAGCTCTTCTCTGAAGGTCTCCTTGAGCTCTTTTTTAGTCTTACCCCAC